AGTTAACGCAAACAATTATGCATCCCAAGAGTCTGCGGAAAAGGAGCTGCGCATTACTGAGCATATAACCAAAGTAAACCCCCAGCATCCAGGTCGCAACCTTGTCGCCACCTTGGTAGACTCGTTTCGCGTCTCTAGCCCCGGCGGCACTCATATTTGCATGGTCTTTGATGCGCTTTGTGAACCACTATGGATGCTGAAGCGTCGTTTCGAAGGAAACACCATCCCTCTCGACGTCTTGAAACCGGTATCTAAACTCATACTAGAAGGGCTACGGTACCTCCACACCGAATGCCACGTTATTCACACAGGTAGCTAGTCATTCAACCGATCCACTCCTAGGATCGGTCACTGCTAACGGACAAATAAGATCTCAAGTCCGATAATATCTTACTGGCCCTACGCAACTCGTCTATCCTGGACTCGGTCGCACAAGATGAGATGAACAATCCCTCTCCACGGAAACAGGTGGACGGTCGGGACATATACCTATCCCGGAATTTCTGGGGGCTGTCGCCCAGCGAACTGGGTAGATCGGTAATAACTGACTTTGGGCTTGCCGTGCGCGGTGACGGCCCCCCAAACAGCCACCCCATCCAGCCAGAGGGATATCGGGCCCCGGAAGTTTGTCTCGGGGGCGAGTGGAGCTACAGCGTTGACATTTGGAACTTGGGAGTTATGGTAAAGACCTCGTTATCATAATCACGATCGCCACTAATGGTCTATCAGCTTTGGGACCTGTTTTATGGCCGCGGGCCCTTCGACACAACATCGGACTCGCGCGGCTCAGGCTCTGCAGACGAAGCCCATCTAGGTCAGATCATTTCCCTCCTGGGGCCCCCTCCACCTGATCTTCTCGGCCGGGGAAAAGAAACATCTCGGTATTTTGACGCTAAAGGTATGCTAGCTGTGTCCTAAATAGACGAGGCTAACTCATTTGACAGGACAATTCAAATTCCCCGAGCTCATCGGGAAAAAGGACCTGTTCTCCATGGCTAAAGAAATTGATGATGACGGCGGAATACCCCTATTTGTAGACCTTATATCTAAAATGCTGCACTGGAGGCCTGAGGACCGGACGACGGCGGAGGATCTACTTTCCCATCCGTGGCTTCCGCAAACCAGACCTGCGAATGAGTGAGAAGGGGGTTATCTGTATAATAAATAGATATCTCTTCGTTCAAGCAACCTGACTGTTCAGGCGTTTCTTCTGTACCACGATCTGACGTATCAAATGGCCATGCGCGAGAGAGCTCCAGCTCTTATTGTTTAGTTCGGGCATGCGCCCGCACGAACTCATCCCCCGCCTTTGGGACGATGCGTTCCAGTTGTGCGAATTTCTCGTGACCCGCCAATCCACGGGCTCGCAATGATGACTGGCGACCATGCACTGGACGCCTCCCATCAGTTCCACTGATGCCGAAGCGCCTGCGCTATTAAGTTCAATCTTGTGAAGAACATCGTGCGAGAACAGAAACGGCCTTTTACCCTCTGAGATATCGCCCGAGCACCAGCCCAATTCACCTCTTGCTGCTTTGCTAGTAGTCCGAGGTAGGTAGCCTTGTAGGTAATTTTTTCACAGGAGACCTACCTCCCTGAACCAAGTAATAAACCGGCAGACTTCTTACTATATCATTACTTTGCGGGTATCATAGTCCACAGCTAATCACATCGGAAAATCATATAAGATACACACTCAGTGCACAGTGGCCCATCCGATTTCAATCCAGGTACGAAATGAGACAGCGGACGATCAACAGCTTCTGGAAGAAAGGTAAGAAAATATACATGCCGCGACCGACAAATCTCCCCCATTTCACCTGGATTAATGCGATAGCCACCATTGAAAGGGGGGCCTGAGATATACCCATACAGCCTGCATCGTGAACGGTGGCGACCAGCGGGAAATGCGGTGCTTCAAGTAGTCTTTTCCGCAGGCGTTTCTTCTCCATCGACGGCGGCTTCTCTTATAAGCAGAGAATGGTTTACTAGTGAAGGCGTCTATTAGCAGGTTTTCTGCAGTAGCATAACTCACACTGGCTCGGTGTGGGACGTCGTAACGGGTTGTGAGGAACTAAAGGAAGAGGAAATGAGGGGGGGTTTATACTCCGGCGGCCCTGGTCAGGAGCCTGAGCGCCTCACGCTAATACACTCTCAGAGAAATCATACTGAGTCAGAGCTTGTTCTGTCCTTATGTGATCATTGTTCTGGCGTATCAGGGTGTTTCTGTATGTCATACGTGTAAGTAGGGTCATTGAGTGGGAATCATCCGGGCAATCCTTCAAACTGATTAGCCTTTCAAACATGTTGTCGTATCGTTGTTGTTCCTTACTTCAGAGCCTTCCACATGAAGAAGAGCTTTAGAGAATTTGTATGGTGCTTTTGAGAAGTTATGTGCTACTACTTCGTACGTCTACAGTCCGTTATGGTGGGTTGAGATGTTAACGGAATAGACGGACGCATAATGACCCGCTGATGGCGTGGGACATATGGAAAGGGAGCGCTAAGCTTCCTACTGCCCATTAATCTTAGACTCAACCTAATAGATCACAAGCTTTCTTCTCTACGAAAGGACGAGAGCACATGCTTCACGCGAATACTTGATAAGACTCGCGTAAGCAGTACATGTATGGTTGTTTCAGATCATCGACAATGGATTACCTACTCTCGTGTCATATTCCTGGACCCTTCATGCAACTGCTTGATAGAGCATGAGTTCCACAGTCATTCCAATTATTCCTATACTGTGTCTATCAGTGGTGTCCTTTTGTCTGGACTTATTTAGGACAACCAGTCGCAGCCAAATTTTGACTCATTGATATCGAAGATAAGATCCCTGCACGCAACCTTAATTGACTCGTAATAAGATGAACATGCTCCCCAAATGGCAACATACTACGAGCGCCTAAGCCTCCACCTGGACGGACCTAGGGAACAAGACAGCCTCAGCCGATATACCAAGGATACTGAGAAATCCCACTCTGACGCGCGATTACCGCCCGCCAAAACCGGGGAACTGATCAAACAATACCCCTCAATGCTGATGGCAGGGATACCTCGCCGGGAATCTATATTTGATAGTATTATGAAGACCCTGCTGCTGTTAACATGCACGGTGACGTTTCTTCCCATGGAACACGGACAATTGTTGCTAATGTATCTATTGAAAGGTAACAGCTCCCTGTCGCACCTTTCCATCCGGATTTAGATTGTAAGCATTAATACTACTCATTTATAATCGGATCGCTCGACTAATGCAAGTTCTCTATGTGAGATTCATTGTCAATGAACTTTCCCAGCGTTATCATTGAGTCGAGAATTCCTTGAGCGGCCTGAAAGGCGTGCTTGAACACTGTGCGCCATATCCGTATCTCCTTCGAGCTACAAGGGCAATGTTTCAGCCATTACCGCAACAAAGAGCGGTTTTAATGCTGTAGGTCGCAGGACCGGGATCTTCTCCTAGTAATCATGGATGGTATCAATGGCTACCATGCAGGCGAGAAGGAGAATTGAAGGCCCCATGATCAACGGTATGACGAACAGGTGCTCTTTCAAACCGTGTAACAAGGGCCTAGAGCGCCGTTGGCTGGGAGGTGGTGGTCAGACAAGGAGGTAGCATGATAGGTAATAAATATTACCTTCCCAGAAGGGGAAGCAGTCAGAGAAGCCCGGGCCGATGGTGGACAATTCATGGGTTCGAGGCCGTATGTGGAGACCATACGGCAGAAGGGGATTGATTCTAGGGTTAGGGATCTGCGATGAGCCAACCACAGCAGTCTTCAGCAGATCAGCAAAACCCCCATTGGTTGGCAATTTTAGGAGCTTTTTCAACTCCTTGCATATTGTGCCCTTGCTCCATGATCATGACAGGACTATGAGAACAACACTGCCTCATTGTAAGCTGAAGGCGTTGATAGTAAATATCAATTGAACTGAGGAGCTGAAGGGAAAGCAAAATTAAAAAAGAAAGATAAAAAACCGAGAAAAATTAAAGCCACGCGAGTGACAAGAAATGGCGCAAACAATCCATTTCAAATAACTAAAAAGCAGTGGGCGGGTTTGGCCGACAAATGCCCTGCAAGGCATTGTAACCATTGACTTGGAAAAGTAACAAAGTGATTAGCAAAAGCTATGGGTGTACAGCGATATCGGCAATGTGTACTCCAAATTTTTGCCGGAGATGCGATTGTGCTAAACACCAGATTTTGACGTCTGCGTCAACAGTGCAGCGATGTGGGTCGGAAACAGACTGATTTTGGGGTTAGAGACAACGTCCTCTTGCGCATGCCCTGGGGGAGCGGGCGAAGCCTCGGCAGATGGAGGGTCGCTGGAAAGCCGGCACAGTAGAAGCTTTGGAGATTGATGTCCTTCCCCGTCGCCGCTTACTCGTGGGGGTTATCCACCGCCCTTTACCGAGCGGCGCCACCCATCGGCTCATAATCTATTTGTCCCTTTTTTTTTTTTCTGTACTACAACCCGGAGTGTATAGCGTTCTGATTTAGAATGGGCGTTTATCTGTTGACCGGGGTACCCTTCGTTATAGAAGAAAAATAAAGATTCAGGAAGGCGGGAGATAGCGCCTTCGCCTTGCATTGTTCGCACGAGTCAGACCACAAGGGAGGGTTGGCAATACGTACTTTACACTTATGTACACCCCTGGCAGGGTATCAATGGCTAGCAGCCGCTTTATTTTCCTGGTACTCCCCATGGTGGAGATGGTTCTAGTTTTAGTAGCCTCCCGTTAGTTCCGGTAGAACAGATCGGGGTGTCCGTGAGACTAAATAATATCTTTGTCCCCGTCATCCATCATTCTTATTTAGTCCATTGTCCATGGTCGATGTTGCTCAAGTCTGTGGCGAATGCATAGTGTGACCTTTCTCTTCACGCAACACTTGGCTTTCTTGGTAAAGGTCATTCGTCAAGAGCCTGGCCTATCTCTCCATTCCCCAGAGTCGATCCTTTAGATTGGTAGTTTGACGTTCCACGGGCTTCTTGTCACCATGGTAGCACAGGCGAAGACACCTCTCCAGGTGATTGTTGTTGGGTAGGTTGGAAATTTGACATTCTTGATGTGGTCGAAATGGTCGTGCTAATCTTAGTATAGGGCCGGTATGCTTCCCATTTTTCTGGGAGTTGGAAGAAAGTTTTGACGCTGATGGATACAGGAATTGGTGGCATGGCAGCAGCTCTGACTTTGGGGTCAAAAGGACACCATGTCATAATTCTGGAATCTGCTCCGAAAGTATGCAGCAAAGGCCCCCTCTGCTGTCGAAATATTTGCTAATCAGACCCATGTATAGCTCCTGGAGGTCGGTGCCGGTATTCAAGTTTCCCCGAATATGTTACGGATTTTTGACCGTGAGTATTTTCTGATACTCTCGAATTGAGGATGTTGCTGATTCAAAACAAGGCTGGGGCGTATCTCCGTTAATTCACTCTAAAGACGTTGCCCTGGAGCATATCCATGTCCGCCGGTGGCAAGACGGTAGTCTTTTAGGGACGATGCCCGTAAACAAGACATACGGTCAGCAGGTAGTTATTCATCGTGCAGATCTCCATAACGCCCTAATTGAGCGAGCGCTGGTGCTACCAAATGTGGAACTTCGAGTAAACTCGACCGTCACCGATGTTCAATTTGACCCAGCATCTGTGACGTTAGCCGATGACACTGTTATCCAAGGGGATATTGTGATAGCAGCTGACGGCATTAAATCTACCATCCGCGGCCACCTACTTGGCGAGGACACGCCCTCTAAGGCCATCCCAACAGGCGATGCAGCCTATCGGATCATGTTGCCACGAAGCGCGATGGAAAAAGATCCAGAATTGAGAAAACTAGTGGACGAGCCACAAGCAACTCGTTGGCTCGGTCCTGAGCGCCACATCATTGCCTATCCCGTTCGCAAGCATGAGCTCTTCAACGTGGTACTACTTCATCCGGATGGACATGGCGTGGAGGAGTCGTGGACCACCAAAGGTTCGAAGGAAGAAATGGTTGACAACTATCGCGGCTGGGATCGAAGGGTGCGGAAGCTCATTGACTTAGTCGCGGAAGATGAAGTTCTTGAGTGGAAGCTCTGTTTGCATTCTCCATTGAAAACTTGGATTAAAGGTAGTGTGGCGTTAATTGGTGACGCTTGCCATCCTATGCTGTCAGTCCCCCTCTATTTACTTACGAGAGGTCTATCCAACTAACGTCCCATTCAGGCCATACGTCGCTCAAGGCGCCGCGCAGGCTGTCGAAGATGCTGCCGCCCTAGGTGTCCTTTTATCAACAATTTCATCCAAAAATGAAATTCCTATGGCCCTCCAGGCGTACGAAAAGTCCCGGAAACAACGCGCGGAGACAGTTCAGCAGTCCGGCTCGGCGAACCGTATCACGCTGCATCTTCCTGACGGGCCAGAACAGCAGGCTCGAGACGAGCAGTTCCGTCTATCGATGACCGGCGGGTCTAATCCTGATCGATGGACAGATCGTGAAACGCAGAATTTCTTATGGGGATGGGATGCCGAGAAAGCTGCCCTGGAGGCCTGGAATGGTAAGATACCCAATGTTTTTCACTTCAGTCCCTTTCTTTATCATTGCAAAAAGATGAAACCTTAAAAACTAAGTTAAATATTCTGCAGAAATACGTGATGAGAATGTGCTTGAACCGCGTCATCACTTGTAGTGGGGTTCTTTCAACCCGGTGGTCGGATAAATTAAATGCTTAGGCGCACGTGCGCCGTACAGCGCCATGTTCAAAGTGAACAAGGGGCTGCTTCCACATATATTAAGCGATTGGTTTCATGCTTATACAGCGCTCGACTCATGTATATACCGAGGTTTCTTTTGCTGTTCCTACTTTGAGGACCGGATTTATGTAAATATGGCCGGGACATGATTGAAGTTACGATTATAGATTAAAAGCATTCAGTACTATCAATGAGCGACACATAACCTTGGACTAAAGCTGAAGTAGTTCTATCTAGATTGATGGACCTCTAGTTGGTGTATATTTCATCCAAAGCTATCCTATATCTATGTGTAAACCTCACCAGCCATATACCGTCTAGCTCTATATTTTTTCCTGTCGCTTCCTCAGGAAAGGTCCAGCGCCACGGCGAGAGAATCCCCATCGAATCTGGTTAGCCATTGAGATCTCCACATTCAGATCATCAGCCCAAGTCCAAACTAGTCCCGGATTCTTTTGAAAACCACGGCCGACCATGACAAAATCCAGACCCTCCTTCTCCAACAAGGAGTTAGCCAGCTGGGCCGAGTCGATCATGCCCACTGACCCTACCTTTAGCTTATCGCCAACTGCCCGTTTGACAGCGACAGCAAATGGAGCCTGGAAGCCTGGTTTCGCATGGATGTGTTGCGCCTGGTGAGTGCCACCGCTGCTGATGTCAATCAAGTCAATGTAGCCGCTCTCGGCGAGCGTTTGGGCAAACTTGATGGTGTCCTCTACTTTCCAGCTGGGCTCTGACGGCCTCGACTCTTCTAACCAGTCGGTGGCGGACACGCGCAGAAACACGGGTTTGTCCTCGGGAACCGCCTCTCTGGTCAGCTTGGCAATCTCCATACTGAGGCGAATGCGATTTTCAAAGCTTCCGCCATATTCATCCGTTCTCTTATTCACGGCGGGGGAAAGGAACGACATGAGGAGATACCCATGTGCGTTATGAACCTCAACAAAGTCCGCACCCGCCTTCACAGCTCGTTTAACTGCGCTCACCCATGCGACTTTCAAGTTTTCGATATCTTGCTTTGACATCTCCTTGGGCGTAGGGTTCCGAACATTGAACGGAGCATCAGTCGGACCTTTAACATGATCCGGCCAGCCGCCTACATTTTTAGAGGCAGTGTCATTCATGGATAGCCATGGGGCAACCGTGCTTGCCTTGCGGCCGGCGTGGGCGATTTGAACCCCAATCAGCTGGTTTTGGCTGTGGACGAACTCAATGACGCGACGCAAAGGTTCGATCTGCGAATCTTTCCACAATCCCAGATCTTCGGGGGTGATACGGCCCTCGGGTTCAACCGCAGTTGCCTCAACCATGAGGAACCCCGGTCCACGCTGGGCAATTCCCCCTAGATGGGCCACATGCCAGTCTGTCATATGGCCATCGTCACCTGAATACTGACACAACGGCGAAAGCTATGCATTTCAAAGTATTGTCAGCATAACCGTTTGATAACCAGGTGATGGCGGTTCTTTACTCCGATGCGATTATGAAAGGTCAACCCCCGCACGGAGAGGGGTTGGAACAGCTTAGGAGGGGTCGTTCCATCTGACTGCGGGTCGGCTGCTGTTCCCGCGGGAGGCTCTTGGGCGGGTGTAAAGTAGGAGATGCCAGGTGCAGCTTTGTTTACAATATCCGGAAGTTCTCGCGAGTTCATGATGTTCGACTCAACGAAGAAAAGTTCGATGGTTCGGTGGACGAGGGTGCCGCTGCGGTCGACGGGGTAAAAATAGACGAGATGGTATCATTTCTCGACTCTCAATCGTATGCCTTTTTGAGTTCATAAAGTCTATTTTGGTCTCTGCATGAATAATATGTCCAATGAGTTGCGATGAAATGATGATGTCACCTGGTAGAGTCCTCGGATGCAACGGGTATCGCCTGATTCGGATTATAACACACTCATCTTCACCTCGGCATAGAATGAGAAAAGATCTGATCATTTCGAATTCGCAAAATAAACAGGCAACACATGCCTGAAAGCGGCATCTCTTGCTACCGTCGGTTTAGAGCGGCATGATCTGTACAATAGAAAGGCCCTGAATGGTCATTGGACGTCTAACCTAGTATTGTTCAATGCTTGGCGGATTGCGTACACTTTGGGAGTATCCGAAGCTCATGTTGAACAATGAGAACAGGAAGAGGGAGAAAAATAAAGGAAAAGGTAATGGAGAAGGATTAAAAATAAATAATAGTAATAATAATAATAATAATAATAATAATAATAATAATAATAATAATAATAATAATAATAATAATAATAATAATAATTAGCGTACTCTCTGTGAGAATTTCAAATCACTCCGGTATCAATATATCGAGGTGTGCTCGAATATCGTACATAAAAGCTGAGATTGTATTGCAGGAACTCCGGCCGAACTGGGAGGAGGCACAAAGCTTAGGGTGGACATCCGTGCATTCGGCAATGTCTTCAATCCGGATCCTGCTACGTGTGTCTGACTCGTAGACATCTCCTACGTATTTGCCTTGAAAAGTTGACTGAATCAACATAAGGAGTGTCAGTGAAAACTATTGGATCTTAGTGAGACCCGAGATCCCGCAGATTCCGTTTATTCGGCATTGTTTCGAATGCTGTAAGAATCTCACAATCACCACCGGCCATGTGCAACAGCAGTGAAACCTAGCGAGCATTGAGGTCCATTCTATATAATGGGTTTCTTGAACTAATTTTGAGCCTTCTGCCTGGCCTCTCTTTTCGATGCCTTTTCCATAGGGTGGGACCCGATGAGGGAGGCTCCTATTGGCCTACTGTAGCACTTAGATAACATGATCCGTGCCTGAGGAACCAATGGCGGTGCTCGCTTTGAGATTTAGTTCCCCCGTTCCATCGATCCACATCACAACCAACGGAAAGGTCACAACGATAAATAATAAAATATTTCGGACAGTGGCCTCAGATTTGAGTTGAGATGGTTTGAAGGAGCCGCAATGGGTCTCGTTCCTCAAGGATATAAAACGAGCACGAGCGGCGAGACTGTTCCCTGAAAAGAAAGATCCGCAACGCATCGAGTCGCTTTGAAACCCGATTGATTCAGTTCGGCGCAGCGGTGGAGACCAAGTTGGTTTTCATTGTTGTTGTACCTAGGTAACTTTCAGCCAACCGCACTGACCAGTGGTCGGGCTGCAGATCGTCTGTCAGCAACAAAGACATCGTGAATATCGATTTCAATAGGTGACTGAACTCTCTCCTTAACGGCTGTAACCCATTGTTCTATCCCGAACTATTTAAAGCCCCATGAAGTTGCCCCGTGACACCTCTCTACGACAATCAAAATCTCTCTTTGATCTAATCCAGGCTCCGGAGTGACCGCAGCCTCTGCTCACAATGACGGGACTCCCCTGGGCGACGGTCTATATCGCGATCGCTGCGTATGCAATCGCCAAATCGACCTTCGGCAATTTCATCCTTCTATCGATCCTGGTCTCTCTGCTCAAGGTTTTCTATAATTGGGTGCTGTATCCAGACTTTTTCACGCCGATCAAGAAAATTCCATCGCCTCCCGTAAGTTTTCTACCGACGCCGGTGGCTGTGGGATTTCTAATGAATGGTGGCACAGGGTCGATCGTGGCTCACAGGCAATTCCGACACAGTCTTTTTGGAGGCGCCTTATGAGCATATGCGTAAATGGCTGGAAAATGTTCCAAATGACGGATTGATCCGCTATTATGTCTCTATTAATCTAGAGCGCATTTTACCAGTGGGCCCACGAGCTTTGAAAGAAATTCTGGTCACCAAGTCGTACGACTTCCCGAAACCTGAATTCATCAGGGCAAGCCTCAAACGTTTAGCCGGGGAACATGGGTTGCTCCTTGTGGAAGGGGATGATCATAAGGTCCGGACATAGACCATCATTTACTATGTCTCCTGTTGTGGCTAACTTGCAATAGAAATCTAAAAAGAACCTTCTTCCGGCATTCGCTTATCGCCATGTTAAAGAGATGTATCCGATCTTCTGGTCAAAGAGTATCGAAATGGTGAGGGTAATGGACGAAGACCTGCGAAAAAAGGCTGATCCAACGGACAATGTCCTCCGTATGGGAGCGTACGCCAGTAGGACGGCGCTCGATATCGTTGGGGTTGCCGGAATGGACCATGACTTCCAATCTCTTCGTGACCCTAACAACAAGCTCGTGAGAACGTATCAGAACCTGATGAGTGAACCGCCATTGTACATGAAGATTATCTTCCTCCTGACTCTGCTCCTGGGCGACCCTGCCTTCGTTCATGACCTGCCACTCGAGAGGAACAGGAGTATTGAGCGAAGTTCTGAAACCATCCGAGATGTAGCACGACAGATGATCCGGCAGAAGAGAGCGAAATGGGAAAGTGGGTCCTCCACCTCAGAAGATATTGATATTGTCTCTGTTGCCCTGCGAAGCGGGAATTTCACCGAGGAGGAGCTGGTAGACCAAATGATGACCTTCTTGGGGGCCGGACATGAAACCACATCAACTGCCTTACAGTGGTGTGTATACGCCTTATGCAAACACCCCGAGATACAGAACCGACTCCGCGAAGAGATCCGTGCAAACCTCCCGTCTATCTCGACAGAGAACCCCCAGCCGCCTGCTGCTGCCGATATCGATAATCTCCCATATCTCAATGCATTCTGTAATGAAGTCCTTCGCTTTCACCCGTCTGTGCCTGCCACTATCCGCTGTGCTAGTCGAGACACAACGATCATTGGAGAGCCCATTCCAAAAGGCACATTATTTCTGATTGCCCCCGAAATCATCAATAAGAGCAAAGAGTTCTGGGGCCCCGACGCCGACAAGTTTGACCCAGAACGCTGGCTAGGCCCTGGTCGGGCCAACAATGGTGGTGCTGACAGCAATTATGCCAACCTTACGTTTTTACACGGACCACGGAGCTGCATCGGCCAGGGATTCGCTAAAGCAGAGCTGGCCTGTATGGTGGCCGTCGTTGTGGGCAAGTACCATATGGAGCTGAAGAATCCCAATGCTCCACTTGAAGTCCGACAACAAGCGACTGTCTGCCCTAAAGACGGTGTGCTTGCTAAGTTTACTACTATAGATGGGTGGTGACGAAATGACCCTGTTGAATTCATTTTTGTACATTAATATCGATCTACTTACTGCTTGGATATCTACGAATTAGGGATCTAGCTGTGGCAACTCACTATGGAAATGGTTGGTGTTCCTTTGGCGGTTGAGGCATTCGTTTCTATCATGATATCACTTCTTATATTTCTCATTTTTCTGCTTTATATTTCACTCTATCAAGCTACAGGCTCCTCCAGCATCAAACCTGAACAAGAATGGGACAGAATAGTACCACAAATCCACAAACAAAAGTCTAGTCTGAATAACTTATTTAATACGGCTCTCTAAAGACCATCACATTCTCCATATCGTTCCCATTGCCATCTTCCTCCACCCACGTCCTCCACATCCCTCCGCAATTGAAATCAAACACCACCTTCCCCCGTCCCAACCCCACCCCAGACACAGGCACACCCGTATCCTTATCGACTTCCACCTCCGCCTCAATCCCAATAATCCCCCCTTCACCCTCCCCGGTAACCCCCCAACGCCCCCCAGCCGAACGCTGCAACTCACCACCTGGCCCAGCAACAGCAGAAACAGCATCAGCCAGCGTGGGCGTCCGCTCCGAAAAACGAACCATAGCACAGGCCGTCCTGGCCGCCGCAACCCTCAGAAAAGAATCCCCATTCCCAGTACCCGAAACAGCAACAGCCCGTCGCTTGACTCTATTCTCCGGACTAGAACACATCACCATCTTCTCCCCCAGCCCTCTCTCCAAAGGAACGTCCATAGGCAAAGACGCATAGCCCCTACTCCTTTCCCTGCTATTAAAGAACGACAAACAACCCCCCAACACCGCATCCAACAACCCTCCCCCTTCACCCTCCTCACCATCTTCTACAGTATTACACTGAACGTCCCACCCCTCCGCCCAAAACCCACTCCCCAAAGTCGGCGTATCCCCAATCCGTCCAGGCCACTTATTCGTCCGCCCCCCAGTACTCGTCGCAACAGCCACCCCACCCCACATATCCAGACAAACACACCCCACCGTCCCCTGACTAAAACTGACCGGCTCAGGCTCCTCCCGCAGACCCCGGAGATGCTCGTCCCACCGTCGTTGCGTCCAGAACCACTCATCAGGCATGAACTCCAGCCCCCACTCCCTGGCCTTCATCTCCACATACGGTGCCACAAGCTGCGGATGCATGCTGCCCCCGTCCTCACTTCCATTTACCCTAGATCCGGTCCGTAAGAGTGACTCCTTGGCGGCCAGAATCGGGTGTCGAACGTTCTTCAACCCCATAACGCCTGCGCCCCTCTTGATCGACCCTGGGTAATCGGGAGAGGAATCGTCGGAGACGAGAGATGTTACCATGAGAGAGGCTTCCATTTCAATGGTCCCGGCGGAAGTGAAGACGCTTCCGCGGCCGCAGTTGAAGAGTTCATCGTCTTCGAGGAGGGTTACGGCGTGGACTGCGGCGTCTAGGGCTGTGGAGCCGGATTTGAGAAGGGCGTGCGTGGAGCGGAGGTAAGTGAGCAGGGAAGTTTAGTATTAGGCGTAGAGGGATGGGGGAAGGGTGGATCTTTTGAGGGCGCCCGCGCCGCCGTGGATTATCAGGGTTGGTTTGAAGAGTGGTTTTCCTGTTTTAGAGTTGGGGTTGGGTTGAGACATTTTGGATTTGGATTTATCTATTGTGATGATGTTGGTGTTGTTGGAAGCGGTATGGCGGGCAGTGTTTGTTGGTTGCGGGGGGCGGGTTCTTATATGCAGGTTTTGGGCGGTTGGAGAGACAGGGTTTGGGGTTAGAGTTTGGTTGGTCCTTTTGGCTTGGAAGGATTGGAATAGATATTGGTTACCCTGGTAGATAATGAGTAATTGATTCTTTAGAGGTAATTTCTAGGATGGAGTCTTATTGTTCTGGTTTCTTATCTCGGAATGATCTGGGGTTGGAAGGAATGACTTACCCGCCGATAACCAGAGAGATAAGCATGGCGCTGGTACTATGCATCTGATTCCTCCTTGTTCCTGTTCTTTCTCATTTATAGTGATGTATTCATCGGACTCTAGAGGGAGATATCCGAGCATCATCATTGGTAGACTGCAGTGTATAGGAGACTGATATCACATTATACCATTTATCGGAAGTTAATATACAAGAAAGTCCAGCATTGGAAACCCCAAGACCGGCGTCGAAGATTCTTTTTCCTCCATCAACGTAATGAACATGCGAATGCAATGCTGTGCACTCCAACAAACCAGGCTAAAACAATACAAGAGGATTAAGAGCAGGGATAGAAGCACAATAGGAATAGCAACCTCTATAGTATGCCCCCAGAAATGATGACCACACCCAACACCTGAGAAGAGAGATACGTGATAATAATGTAGCATATAGATCGGATTCGGGAAGGAGGGATCGTAGCTGGGGGTTGATTTATGCAGCGACCTTGTCGCCAGATGGGGGAGCAGGAGGGAGCTAAAACATGCCAAGTTAGCTTAAAACTCATGCAAGCGGATAGTCCGGAAACCAAGCTGCTCCCGAAAGAAGACGCTAGAACAAGCTCACCTCTAGTTTTGTGTTGTCTGCCATCATTCTCTGGAAACCAATACCGACACCCTCAATGACAGCCAGGAAAACAGCACACATGATGGCGGAGTTTCTGGCAGCCTTCACACCACCACGGACAGCCAAAGCACCACCAGTGAAAAAACCAGCGATAACTGTAACAAAGAAAATCGATTAGTCAGACGCTGTCCAGTAAATCGCGAAATAAGGTACACATACTAGCATTGTAAGGGTCCTCCTTCTTCCGGATTCCCTTGATTGCACAGTCGAATGTCGAGAACATACCACCCCACACACCGAAGTTACCACCGAGGACAGGCGCGCGAGCCTTGATGGCTGTGAGGGCTCCTATCCGACGCTCTCCGTAGGGGCTGTTTCTGAAACCCTTGATACCGTGCCATACTGCACCACCAATTGCCTATAGTTTCATCTTATTAGCCCGATAGTCCAGTAAAATAGCGCGATTGGACCTCGATTCGAATACATACACCCATACAGAAAGCACCACCGAAATCACTCAGGGCAACCCAGGGGCAGGGATCTCTGGAGTGATCCATAGCGAATGTGAAAAGATATAAAGAGACGAGTAGATGATATTAAGCGGGCGGTAGATCCGTAAGCACGAGTAGCTACTGTCCTGACAGGCTACACGGTCTGTGAGATGCGATGTGTCAATGGATCGAGCGGTTGCTGATGACCTGGATAGGTTGTGGCTCGTTCGAGGGAGGATGGGATCGAAGGCGTATGTATTAACGATGATGAAGTGTCGCCAAGTAACGTCCTCTAATCGTTAAACCGCGGAAGGGGATGTCTTTTGTGGGGACAATGAGGTCGGCGATGGAGCAAGTTGGCGGATCGCAGCAATCTTTTTAGATGGCGTTTTTTCGCCCGGAAAACGTGACTTCGGACGGGGAATGAGATCACGTGCAGATAACACCCCCGGTTTCCGCTCGTATCAAAACAAACTTTTCTCGCGATGCATGGAAGAACTACGACTTTTCCCGTAGTCTCGATACTCTGTGGCAAAGCAATGGAAAAGAAAACCTTGTTGGCCTTGCTTTCTATTGGGCATTATGCTAGAACAGCCCATGGTTCAAAAATTTATCCAAAACCCAAGGAAGGATATTCACATCTATGTACATACGTTCCACGTCATGTGGCAAGCGTTATCTTGAGAGAACTCAAGACGGCAAATTCCAAATAAAGTTCAAAGCACCTCCTTCATATGCAGGGAATTGTCCTGCACTACTGATACCAAACGGTGCCATCGATGGGTCGAATGGCAAAGAAAGCCAATCATCAGCCGCGACATCGTTGAGGGACGGGATGTACCCCATATCAGACATGTTTTGAGACATCGAAATATCCATCATAGGTGTATTGTTACTGTGATCGGTGCTCGATGGGACACCCATGGAAGGTCTTGAGGCTGTTCCCTGGTTACTCTTGACAGTCTTTGATGATGCCAGTAGATTCCGCCGCAAACGTGCGACATGCATGTCTAAGAGCGCAGCATAGCGAGTACTCAAATGGATATCATCCAAGGCGTTTGACCTTAGCGCTTGTATACTCCGCTCGAGAACATCCAATGACTCTCGCAGCGTCGATTGGCGTGTTCCCAAACTAAGAGCCTTCATGAGAAAGATGGACGAGCTCGTGATACGGAGGAATATCCGGACGGGGCAGAATCGTAATACCCCATTCTCAGCCAGTTGGATTACCTTTTGTAGTATCTGACAGCATCCATCAATAACTTCCTGAATGTATTCGTAGTCAATCGGGTCAATGTTCAGCGCGCGGACCTCTTCCGCGTGAGGATCGCTGTCCGCGAGCACCCGCTCCACCACTGCTTGCATTCCGACGGAATGCGTATAGACTCGGACAAAATGATATTCGATGAAGAGGATATCAAAGTACTGTTTCTTGAGTGCTGTGTGTATTCCGTTAGTTTCAGACGCGCAAGAATTATTCCGGTCATGGGTTAAATTCTAAGTTTAACCAGATTCACCTACATCGTACTTGGAGATGTTCTTCCTTCCACTTGTCCAGTATCGGACGAAAATGATCCAGCAATTCAATATACCGTCCACTATGCAATTGCTGCCTGGCAAACGAGACGGTCGGAAAGAACATATCAGTGACCGATTTTGCCAATTTCGTCAGATCCATCCAGGAATCCATAAAAATCAGCCATTCATCACCGGATTGATTTAGCTCTTTTGTCGCCCGCCGCCCTAGGACAGCATGGTTCAGGCTCTGTGGCATAAGCGATACGCAGCCTATTCGCCATGCGAGTTGATTGATATATACATATAACAACCGCTGCACCCGCTGCCTGCGAAGTTTGATCTGTTCCCCAGATATAAATCCCTCGTAACCAGACGCATAACCCAGCTTCTTCTCATCAAGCTCGAAGATACCCAGTTCGTGCGCAAGAGACAAAGCTGAGCCCAGTAGCATCCAAGACATCTGGTCTGATCGTCGTGCTGGCTCAATCATATCCTCCAGCCATCGATTGGTAGAAGACGGATCCTCTAGCTCTTGCGGCTCCGGGGGAACTGACGTGAGGTCGAAGTCCCAGCCATCACTTTCTGGAGGGAAATGGAGGGATCGGGGGTGCCATTCTGACATTAGCATGAGAGCCTCGATCGTCCCTATGTTCCGAACCTTAGACTGCGAAGATTTCTCCTGCCCGAACATAAGTCGCATGACCAGTTGCTGACAATGCTGCCAAAGCCGATGGTGAATGAAAAAGTTCCTTGATCCACCACCTGCACCAGGCAACAGGTGATAACGAGAGGATATCATCAAGATAGTACAGCATAAAACTGGATCGTGCGACACAAGCCAGCGATGATTCTTATGGTCTGCATAGAAATCAGTTAATATCGGGGACAGGTCCGACATATTCTTGAAGAAACTGTACCGTCAGTCAGCTTTCACAACTTAGTAGTACTAGAACAGTTGGTTATACGAACAGGTCGATGAACGTGACAGCCTCTCTCGCAGTGAACCATCCCATCCGAACAAAGCGACATGCTCCCCAGACACTAAGGACTTCTTTGGACGCTTGGGAGATTTCTACGGGCTGCGCTGCTTTCGCCAGAACCTCGGGAGGAACAATGGATTGGTTTAATGAGCTGTCATAGTTATTGGAGCGACCAGTAGAGCTTCGCGCATTTCGCGACGGCGTACTCGACTCGCTTAAACCATTACCATGCTCCTTACTATGGGCGGCCGCGGCCTCGAAAAGGATATTGAGAGCATCGTTCCCACTAGACACCACGGTGCGCATCATAGAATTAGCCAAGGTAGAGGTGGATTGCCGCCGTCTTTGGCTACCCTCTGCTGGGGACGACTGAAGTGTACTATCACCATTATCCTGGTCATGCTCCGCATAGCTAAGTGGACTCGGACCGTGGCCTAAAACGTGGTGTGACTCGTCCCTACTAATCCCGGGATTGCTAGATAGTCTAGGACGTGTCCTTGCAGACAGCGGTGTACCTTCTTCCGATTGCCCTTATGCGATGTTAGACATGGTCTAACCTGGAGAAGGAGGACGGGTTAATTCACCTCGTTTCTTCTGTCTTTCCCATGCCTTTTTCTCACTGAACACACACTCCCTTTGCTCCCTCCTGCACTTCGCACACGGCGGCCCTAATGGAAGACCATCCGGCCCTGTCCCTAATTCACATTTTGCCTTTCGCTGCCGGCAGGCAAGACATGCCTTGTAGGTACGCTGGTATGTGGCATGTCCGTTGCGGGACTGTCTCCTGACCTCCATTCTCACAGGGAGCAAATCAACCAATCACATGATAGTGATGGATTATGGCTATGAGGTAACAATGGGCCGGACGCAGGAGCCAAAGGCAAATGGCTGAGTGGCCCGGGTTTTTGGTTTTTCGAGATATTGCGGATGTTGGAATGTGGTTGGCAAAATAGCCGTCAGTTGCCGAGGAAGATGGTGGAAATACCCGCCCCTACTTTAGCTTCAACTCAACAAGTGGCCTCGTTCCCCTTTTAGGCTTACAATGTCGCGCAGGGAGCATAAACTTCTGTGGGATTGATGCATCACATGTAATTTATTTGCATTAGGGTCAGGTACTTTCATACCAAGATGTAACTACTAATTAGTCAAACGTAGGTAAAAGATGCGGCTATAGAGTCTTAAATATATATTCTGACCACTCTGTACTTAGCTACCTTTGATGCGTCGAACCCTTAAAAACGCACTCTTAGCTAGACGAAAAGTGAAAATTGGAAAGTAGAGAAGAAATGGCCTTAAAATTTTCACAATATTTGCCCTCAATTATGTGTGCTTAATATTGACCACGACTGTATACCCGCAGTTAACAGCACATGATGTCATTGCATACTAGGCGCCGCAACCATATCAGAGCATATTATACTAAAGGATTCTCCAGATGGCCAGGCACTGCTCTGCCCCACAGCAATATAGAGATGCCATCTCCCGAATTTTCTATTAAAAAAATAAAAGGCATGAAAAGCTGACCTCGGAAAATAGCGGAAACTCCGGCGCTCAGAATCGGATATTCACCCTAGCGGAACGGTTCCGCCTGCTTTTGACAAGACCATCGAGTATAATAAACAACCGTGGGCAAGGCTGAGAACGCAGTAACGGAAGTCTAAACCCAGTATTAATTTGTTGCGTTTATGTATATCCCCCAAAGAGTATTAATTTGCTGTAGCGTAAAAAGTCTACTACTTGGGTAGCCCATCTCTCTCACATTGACATAACATACCCCTCTTGAGAAACCACCTATATACAATACCTACAAGTCACAATAGAGCCCTAAACCCAGAATCAACTGAACAGACAAGAACACCCAAAATGACCGATCAAACTCCCAAAATCACCCTATACACATACTTCCGCTCATCCTCTGCAGCCCGTCTGCGCATCGCTCTCAATCTCAAATCAATCCCCTACAACTCCATCCCCGTAAACCTCCTGAAAGGCGAGCAGTCATCGCCTACCAACCGCGCCCTCAACCCGTCCGGCACCGTCCCAACCCTCGTAGTCGAGCGCTCAGCATCCCAGGGTGCGACGGTGACCATCACGCAATCTATCGCCGCGCTGGAATACCTGGAAGAAATCACCCCGGCATCATCCCACGCTCTCCTCCCACCGATCTCGGACCCGGAGTCCCGTGCAGTCGTCCGTACCCTTTGCGAGATTATTGGATGTGATGTGCAGCCGGTCACGAACCTGAAGATTCTGAAGCGAGTTGGCCCGCTGGGATTCGATCGGGAGACGTGGTCCAAGGAGCTTATTGAGGATGGGTTCCGTGCTTATGAGACTATTGTGTCGCGGACGGCGGGAGTATTCAGTGTTGGTGATTCCGTCACTATGGCTGATGTATGTTTGCTTCCTGCTGTGTGGGGAGCGCAGCGCTCTGGTGTGAACTTGGCCGAGTATCCTACTATACAGCGGATTGCGGAACGGTTGGAGATGGAGGATGCGGTGAAGAAGGCGCATTGGAGGACGCAAAGTGATACACCTGAGGAGTTTCGGCTGAAGGAATCTTCGTAGGTTGTATTATCGTGGTCGTGATATTGGGGATTTGAAGGATTTTACGGGTGTATGACGACAGAATGTATAGGGATCTTATATGTTCTTGGATACTTTATTCATAGCTATCTCGTGACAGACAATCTCACTTATTTTGGAACGTTACAAACGAAAAAATAAAACCAAGGCTAGAACTTAGTATTCCAGCTTGATGGCGGGAAGAATGGTTCCCGTGCAGTCTCCGAACCCAACATAGTTCCCTTCCGTGCCAGCCTTACCACGCAGGACAATAGTGTCCCCATCCTCCAGGAACAGGCGTTCAGATCCATCAGCCAGCTTAAGAGGGTTCTTTCCATTAGTCTGCTCGAGGAGACTGCCCTGGGTTTTGGGTTCAGTGCCAGAGATCGTTCCACTTCCGAGAAGGTCACCGGGGTTCATGTTGCAGCCTGTGATGGTATGGTGTGCCAACATCTGTGGGAACGAGTACAGGAGGTTCTTTGCGTTTGAGTTGGAGATGATAGTTGGCTTTCCGCCTGCGCTGGTGATTTCGACTTCGAGGGGGATATCGTAAACGTTGGCTGCGCGCTTCTCACGCAGGTAGGGGAGCAGAGAATCCCGGTCGCCAGGTTCCAGACCCGTGGCACGGAAGGGCTCCAATGCGTCCAACAAAACTACCCAAGGGGTGATCGTAGTGGCAAAGTTCTTTGCGTTGAATGGACCCAGAGGGATGTATTCCCAGGCTTGAATGTCACGGGCCGACCAGTCGTTCATGAGCACCAATCCAAAGATATGATCTTCGGCTTCGTTGATGTTAACAGGCTTTCCCAGATCATTGGGCTTGCTGACGAATGCAGCCAGCTCCAGTTCGATATCCAGTCTTTTGCATGGGGAGAAGGTGGGGAGCTTAGGTGTAGCGGCTGGGTTGGCCAGGATTTGGCCGTTGGGACGGTGGATAGGCGTGCCAGAAGGCACGACAGACGATGCACGACTGTGGTATGCGACGGGCAGGTGCTTGTAGTTGGGTTGCAAGGCATTCTCTGGTCCGCGGAACAGTACACCGACATTGTAAGCGTGGTTCAGACCGGCGTAGAAATCAGTGTAGTCGCCGATTTGCATTGGCACATGGTTGGTCACCTCTGACAGCGGCAAGAGGGCCTCCTTCTGCAAGGACGCATTATCCTTGAGAACCTGAGGAAACGGGGTGTCTGCACGGAAGACATTCTGAATATATTCGCGAACTTGGCGGTGCACAGGACGACCCAGAGCAGCGAATGCGTTCAAGGTGGGCTGGTTAAAAACGCTGAGATGTGGTTGGAAGTCAGGCAGTTGTGCGAAGCCCCCCGACGAGGCAAAAGTGCTCAGGTTCAGCGCATATTCTCCGATCGCAATCGCAGCCACGCGAGAGGTACTTTTGGTCGAGGAGATAATTCCAAAAGGAATGTTCGCCAGCGAAAATGGCGAGTTCTTAGGGATCTGGAGCCACGATGCCATTGTTCTGGTTATAGTGGAAGGGGTGAGAGACCTCGAATGTTTAAAAAATGCAGTCACAGCGACGTGTTCATGTGAGAAGCTCCAACCGCGAAAGAAAGCGACGTTAAAAACAAGTCGCTTTGACTTAGTCTGCCCCTCATCTCTTGATTGCGACAGCTGCGTGTTTTGCATGAGAGGGACGATTTCCGATGGGTGGCCGCGGAACCAAACCGCAATACCGCTTATCCCCGGCAGTTTCGCACTAGCTCTGCTGCCCTCCAATTCCGCGGTCCCTCCCCGCAATTCATACTTGGCTCTGGACTGTCGGTTACATTGTCAAAGGTTGCGCAATGATTTGAATTCCCGCGATCATGTCCGTGACTAACGGCAAGTCGCGACCGCCAATACTCTCATAAAACGAGGGGCACCGCATCTCTAGGGTTGCGATTTTCTACCAAGGTCTAACTCCTGTACTACTCATTTAACGCAAGAAAAACATACACAATTGATAATAGGCATTGACATCATGCCAGTCACTAAATTCTCACACCCAGACCCTTACTCCTACCAAACTGGATTCGATTCCTATCATGAGTATGTATCTTAGACTGCGGAATTCACGATGGGCGGAATTAACTGTCTCGCAGATCGGAAGCCATTGAAGGAGCCCTCCCCGTAGGCCAGAACTCTCCCCAGAAGGCTCCGTATGGTCTCTATGCCGAAAAGCTGTCTGGAACAGCTTTCACCGCTCCTCGACATGAGAACAAGCAAACCTGGGTTTACAGAATCATCCCCGCGGCTGCCCACGAGAACTTCAAGGTCGAAGATGGAGACTCCTATCACACTCATATGACCACCGAGACCACTAAGCTTCACCACATTCCCAATCAGCTCCGATGGAACCCGTTCGATCTGGATGAGACTGTGGACTGGGTGCATGGGCTGCATCTCATCGCAGGGTCCGGAGATCCCACCTTGAAACAGGGACTGGGAATTCTGATGTACGCGGCTGGAAAAGACATGGGAAAGGAGGCCTTTTATTCGGCGGATGGTGATTTCCTGATTGTCCCACAGCACGGTGTGCTAGACATTCAGACAGAATTGGGAAGACTTATCGTTCGCCCGAATGAGATTTGCGTCATCCCCCGTGGTGTCAGGTAAGCCCTCCTCCTCCCTTGCTAAGGTTCTAGCAGTAAACCTGACGACTACAATTTCAAGATACCGTGTAACTCTGCCAGCTGGCCCGGTAAGAGGGTACATCTGCGAGCTCTACCAAGGTCATTATCAACTCCCGGAGCTTGGTCCCATTGGCTCGAACTGCCTCGCCAATGCGCGTGACTTCCAAGCCCCGGTGGCTTCTTTCGATGATGAGGAGGAACCATCCGAGTACCGCCTGTACAGCAAATTCAACAACACCCTTTTCTCCGCTCGCCAGGATCACACTCCATTCGATGTTGTCGCTTGGCACGGCAACTACTACCCTTACAAGTATGACCTAGGTCGCTTTAGCGTCATCGGCTCTATTTCTTTTGATCACCCCGATCCTTCCATTTTCACTGTCCTCACTGGCCCTTCGGACCATGTCGGAACCGCCATCGCCGACTTCGTCATCTTCCCACCACGTTGGTTGGTGCAAGAGAACACCTTCCGTCCACCATGGTACCACCGCAACACCATGTCCGAGTTCATGGGCCTGATCTCCGGTAATTATGATGCGAAGACCGGTGGCGGCTTCCAGCCAGCCGGAGCCAGTTTGCATAACGTCATGAGCGCGCACGGTCCTGACACTGATGCATTCGAGGGAGCCAGTAATGCTGAACTGAAGCCGCAGAAGGTCGGTGACGGAAGCATGGCATTCATGTTCGAAAGGTTCGTATTCGCTACGGGATGCTTGTATTGTTCAATCACTAACTTTATTAGTTCTCTCATGGTCGGAGTATCCGAATGGGGTCTCAAAACATGTCAGAAGGTGCAGGAAGAGTACAACGAACATAGCTGGCGGCCATTGAAGAGGCACTTCAAGAACCCTAACAAGGCTTGAGGTTGCATTTGTGACGAGAAAACGATGTACTGCATATTGTGTAAACATTCATTAGCAATTTAGCACTGATACCTGGTCTACATAAATAAGACATACTTGATTTTTATATATTGTTCGCGTATTACGTTCACATTCAAACCCGTCATAAAGAGTCTTCACCCACAAATCTATAATGGCCACCCCTCGGACTTAGAAAAATCGACTTCCTCGATTTTGCCGACGCCGTAGCTTTGTGGTTGCACCTATGGTGTAGTACTATAACCTTTGGGCCAGCAATTGGACCAATGCATACTCTTGGTAAGCCTTGATGGCTAGAGTTGATCTGTCCCAGCTGAGGACAGAATAACTGTATTTCACATTCAATCACACACACCAAAAAAAAAAAAAAAAATGCACATTAAGCATACAACGCTAAAACTACACACATATACACAACAAGAAAGAATACTATCACCCCTCAACCTCTTTCCTCAATGCTTCCTTAACAATAGCCCCACACATCTTCGCATAAGGATTCGTCTGCACCGCCAACTGCTGAGCGACTTTATTCCCAAACCTCCCCCCAAAGAAAAAGTCCCGACTCGCCATCTCCTCCAACCGATCCGCATCTAATTGGCTCCATCTCCCCGGCCCCTGAAACGCTTCACCGCTCTTCTTCACCTTCGCCAACCTCAGCAACAAATACCCCCGGTGCGTATGCGCATCGGCCAGTAAACGCGCCTGGACCTCCGAAACAGGATCCGCCGGTGACCGCGGCGTGGCAAGACCAATCGCCTCACCCAGATCAGAGAGGAGAGAGGATACGGTCTCTGCGTTTTGTGGGGTGAAGAGGTCTGTATCTGTTTCTTCCGCTTGGTTACCATTGTGGGTGGAGATGAGCATGCGGAGGGCTTGGGCTCTGTTCACGTAGGCGGGTGGGTAGGTTGGGTGTTCTGTTATCAGGGTGGAGAGCTGGTCTATGGCGGATTGGATGGTCTCCGGGGTCGGGTTGGGTGATGCTAGGGTGCGGACGATGGTTATTTCGCGGTTTTTGAGGGTTTCGTGGAGCTTGGGGTCGATGTTTAGGTGAGCTGGGAAGGGAGGCAGAGATGGATTGATTGTGATGCCGTTTGAAGGAGAGGATTCAGCGTCGAACAGTGCTTGGAGGACGGCTGAGTCGTTGGTTGTTAGGTTTGGTTTTGTGGGGGAGATTGTTGTTGAGGCCATTTTCGTTTTCTCTATAATTTTTTTTCCCTTTGGGATTCTGTTGATTTGGAGTATTTGGTTTGTGTAATTCGAAGTATAGATTTGTATAGGATAGTTTTGGTCTTGGTCGTGGAGTAGGTGTGAAGTAGGAGGAAGTGATGTAGAAGATTGTATGTCTCAGATGTTGTATGGCGGATATTGTATATCTATGAAAGAATGAAAACGGTATAGTCCCAACCATTCAAGCGATTGAAGCCGTGGGAAACTTCTTCGTCATTGTGGCGGATGTTTTACCTAGGGTCATCTGCACGCCGGCTATTTCGAGATACCCGTGCCCAGCCGGCCCTTTCCACGCAACACCCGTCCACAGCCGACGCCAGCCCCAAGTTGCCATCATCTCGCTGACCGAATTGGGTAATGTATCATTGGGAAGAATGCAATCATCAATATCCACAGGCGATGTAGGTGTTGGTTTGAGGCTAGCAAGATACCCGGTGACCAATCCATGGCCTGGGGGTCGAATTGTATTTAAAATGATTATCATTCGACGTGGTTGATATAAAGACAGCACCAACGACTGGTTCAATCTACCACTGCTCAACTCAGACTCAATCAGAGAACTTGTATTACTATAGACAGAAGAACCAAAGTCAAAAGTATAACACGAACAAGAAAACAACAACAGCCATGGCCCCCATCTCCACCAGCCCCCCTCCCACAGACCGAAACTCCCTCGCCAGCTACAGAGGCTACGACCATGTACACTGGTATGTAGGTAACGCCAAACAAGCTGCTACGTACTACATCACACGCATGGGCTTCAAGCGCGTCGCCTACCGTGGTCTCGAAACCGGCAACCGAAACATCTGCTCCCACGTCGTCCGCAACGGAGACATCACCTTCATCCTCACTTCGCCTCTGCGCTCCCTCGACCAGATCGACCGCTTCTCCCCCGAGGAACAGGAGCAGCTGAGAGAAATCCACCACCACTTGGAGCAGCACGGCGACGGTGTCAAGGATGTTGCGTTCGAAGTCGACTCCGTCGACGCCGTCTTCAACGCGGCAGTGAGCAATGGCGCAAAGGCCGTGTCGAACCCACAGACGTTGAAGGACGAGAGCGGCGAGGTCAGAGTGGCTACTATCCAGACCTACGGTCAGACCACACATACACTGCTTGAGAGGAGCAATTACCGCGGTGCTTTCCTCCCAGGCTACCGGCTCGAGACTGCAGAGGATCCCGTCTCTAAATTCTTGCCCGGTGTGCATCTCAACCGCATCGACCACTGTGTCGGAAACCAGGACTGGGATGAGATGGACAAGGTTTGCGAATAGTAAGTTGTCCTTTGCTTTCACTCGTCTTGTGTTGTCTTCAAGAGCTAACCAATTGCAGTTACGAGAAAGCCCTCGGATTCCACCGTTTCTGGTCCGTCGACGACAAGCAGATCTGCACGTGAGTCTAGCTGTTCCCATCAGCTTCGCGAGGTGATTTGAACTAACGATTGAATAGTGAATTCTCCGCTCTGAAGAGTATCGTGATGGCCTCGCCAAACGAGATCGTCAAGATGCCCATCAACGAACCAGCCAAGGGCAAGAAACAATCTCAGATCGAAGAATACGTCGACTTTTACAACGGTGCTGGCGTACAGCACATTGCTCTCCTGACCGACGACATCATCCGGGACATCACGAACCTTAAGGCTCGCGGTGTGGAATTCATCAAGGTCCCCAGCACTTACTACGACGACGTGAAGATCCGACTGAAGAAGGCCGGCCTGACGCTTCACGAAGACTTCGAGACGATCCAGAAGTTGGATATCCTCATTGACTTTGATGAGAATGGTTATCTCCTGCAGTTGTTCACTAAGGTATGTTGATCAGTTTCGCTTTCTTCTGTAATGGCCGTATGCTAATCGTTATAGCACTTGATGGATCGCCCGACTGTTTTCATCGAGATTATCCAGAGACACAACTTCGAGGGTTTCGGAGCTGGAAACTTCAAGTCATTGTTCGAGGCGATTGAGCGGGAGCAGGAGCTGCGTGGAAACCTTGTTTAGGGCTTCGGGGTGATGATGCCAATGACTTATGCCTTTGTATTGTTGCTTCTGCTTGATACCTACCCTACATCTCTACAAGTGTATTTTTGCGAAGTTGCTGCGCATGTTAGATTAGCGTCTCTATTGGCTATATCAGAAAATGTTTCTATGAACGTGACAGTCTCATATGTACACGCTGCCTTCTACTGTTTTTGAAGGCCTGTTTGCCCAAGGTTGTGGTTATTGTAAATTCTAAGCATACGAAGCATCTAATCGTATTTTCATTGTGTGCGACATGATGTTCGTTTCGTTATTTCTATGCATACAGGTCACCCAGTGCACCAAGGTATCGGCATACGAGATATGCCAAACACTTGGGGCACATATGACGATCCAAGCCGATGCCCTTATCATTTCTTCTTCGAAGAACCTCCTGGAGTTGAGCCCGGCCGACGCTTATACTTCCGGGGATCTTTCCGGCTCATCAATACTTTGTTTCTCGTACCTTTTCCACCTTCCCAGAATCCGCTTCCTGCTTTTCCTATAAGAACCGCACGGCAGACTCCGCAGTTTTCAGGCCTGTAGATTTGCTCTCTAGAACAGAAGCCACAAATCATACGATTCGCGTGTTCGTTGGGGTGGTCTGTCTCCGCATCATGACATTTATCGCAAGGAAATACCTTGGCGCAGCAGCTAAATCGAAACCAGCGATAGCTTTTGCCATAGTGCGAACAACGACCACGACGGGGGAGTTCTTGACCAGCAACAATGCCGAGAGTTTCCTTTGGCTTCCTTCGTGGCAGTGCTTGGTTACGAGAAGTGAATGCGGCTGATCCTACTCTGAGGAATTTGACTTCAGGAACCTTGAATACCATCTTGCGGTGGCATTGGCGACATGACGCCGATGCACTCTCACCGCGGACTGCAACAACACCGGGCGCAGGGAAGGAGCTTGAACATTCAGCGCATGTTGGAATGAAGCTGCTAGGAAGAAGATCCGCGATAGTACAGCCATCCAAGTCAAGGTAGCCGGCGCGGTTCGCATTAGAATGTATTAACTGTCGACGGAAGCCTATTGAAAGTGATTAGTTTAGTCTTCCATATGTTGTCCTGTCCGAGAACGCCTTACCAAAACTCATAGTGTTGGCACATTTCTTACACGACTCAATTTTAGGAGACAATGCATCAGCCCTGTCCTTCACCTGAGGGACGTTCTTTATGTCCATCTGCTCCTTGCATCGATCACATTTGATCGTGATTGAGAGGCCAACAAGCTCTAAAAGTTCAATTCCATATAATTCCAAGAAGGGGAAAGAAAGGGCAACGCCACGTTCCACGGTGGTTTCTGGGAGCGCTGGTACTACGGCTCCTCCATCTTCTTCATCTTCGCCTGTAAAGTCATCTTCAGACTCGGTCATGTCCGTATCTTCGCTCTCGCTGCTGCGTTCACCCACTGTCCATTCTGGAGGTCGTGGAACGACATGGACGTGAGGCTTGTCTTCTAGTGTCGTACCCTTTGTGGCCGTCGACATATCTTCAGGGTCCTTAGAATCCGTATGCGGTTCAGATGATACGTCCAGAGTAGTCTCCTGGGGGGGAGTCTCACGCGGCGTTTTGGCGAAATTATGCATATTGGCCGTCAGGTAATTGATTTGCGACACCAGGTTCAAATTTGAATTTCCTTCAACCCACTGCGCGAATCCTACTTCAACAGGCCGCGCTTCTGCACGATCAACGCCCTGGAGCTCAACAGAGCTCTGTTCCAGTGGGTACAAAAGCGGCACCGATAGCTTGACTGTTTTCACAGAACGGATCGAAATCGGCAGCCGGTCGGGTTTGGGAGGCTGAATAGGAATGACAAACGAAAGCCCATCTTTAGATTTCTGAAACAAAGGCAGTCTTCCAAGACGAGCTTCAATTTGCTTAGTCTCAACAGCTCGCCTCTTCTCAGCCTGCGATTTCTCCTCCGCGGTATATACCCGAGAGGGAGCATCCGGCACAGACGACGACTTTGGTTTCGAGTCTTGCTGACTGACTGGGGTAGACACGGTCAAGGATTTCACCCCTTCCACAATCGCCTGGCTCTCTGGCTGCTGCTTGCTACCCACATTCGGCACAAACTTCAGCGTGGGGCCTCTTTCCGTAGTCGTGAGTAAACGCTCAAGGTGTCGGTCTAGCGTATTCATCCAATTTAACAAGGTCGCACGGCCGCCACTCCTCAGGCTGCTGTCGACAATGTCGTCGAATCCCCGCGCAACATTATCCTGAAAGGCGCTGCCCATTTCGGGATTGGTCACTTTCAAAGTGGGTCTCTCGCGGCCTGGATATGATAGAGGCACATGCAAAATGCATTGCAGCTTGTCCATTTCGAAGGGAAAGTCCGGATCCGAAGGGGCCATCCCGAAAGTCAGAGTTGTGCCCACATTATCCGTGCTCTCTGTCGGACGAAAACGTCGCCTCAGCTGGTTTATCTGGAATTCGCGGGGATTTGAGCTTTCGGCCTTTGAGGTTGGCCTCTGGCCGGTGGTTGAACTCGTGCTGGTCATGTTGCTGGCTGCCAGTGAAGGGTCGTTCATTCAAAGTTAAGTGGTAGCCAGAGTATCACAAAAGCAAAGACGGTACGGTGAGCTGGAACAACGACAGATCCGGACAATAGGTCTGGATAAATAGTACTAGACTTTTGAGTATGAGGACTAGATAGTTTACCAAAGGAAGCTATATGAGCTTAGTCATTTAACGTTGCCGCTGAAGGTGGGCCTCAGGCGCTAGTCCTAAAATAGATAAAGCGCCACCATGACTCTTCGTGACTCCCGATGATTCAGTGCCAATGACTCAAAAGTCCAAGTGCCACAAGTCCCATGTCAGGAACTCCATCAGTTTCCACGGCACTGGCGATGCCAACTTTTTGGGATGTGGTGCATCTCTTACCCCAAGGAATAGTACTGTAGTACTCAAAGTTACTCTATTTTTAGCCAGTCAGTCAATACCCGTCAGCTAAATTCTCCGGTCTTGTCTTGTTTCGCCTCCAGTAAGGCTCTCCAAGCTCGGTTTCAAATGAATACTCTGGCCTTCTCACCTTTCGCCCATTGTAGAATCCACTGAACTTAAGACGTGCCATGATACCTTATATGACTTCTACTATCATCAATCCACCCACGGGATCACGCCACTTGCAGGTCTACATTCTCGATGCTTCCAGCGTATCAAGCCACCAGGATACGAAGAATGGTGGTCAGATTACTTATCAATTCTAGAACAGAAGTATATCGTTAGCTTCTAGGTGGAGCTTGCATCCAACACTATAGGGGTCTTCAGCCGCTTTTCCGCGATGTATCTAACCATCATTGCTTGTTTAGAAAACTTGTCTTCCCTGAGTATAGTAGCCTCCAGAAGTAGGAACACGGACTGACAGGAATCGTCCCATGGTGAGTGGAAAGATTAGGCCGTGCGGGAAGAGGGTAGCATCGATTGTAGGAAACGCATGTACCGTTCTGTACCATACCACAAAATCATAAACTCTATACATCATAGAGGTCAGGAATTCTGGGCTTTAGGTTTATGTTCTCGGTTATTGAGAGTGCCCAGCATCACTGAGTGTAAGATCTTCGTGTGAAAGGAAAGTCCACATGAACGATTATCAAAAGAAGCTCCTTCAACTACTGGCACAAGGGATCATTGTCCGTTACTTGACGGGCGATCGGCATTGGATTCAATACTTCCTTGTGGCTGGATGGCTATCTCTTCAGCCAAATCAATCTTGTACCTTGCAGACTTCTAGGCTTTGGGATCTGAACATTAGACTAGGACAAAAACAACCTAGTAGTAGAATAGCAACGCCCAAAAGAAATGACGCTACAGGTTCCAATCAACCCATTGCCGTGGTGCGTATTATGTATACATTCACCAAGGCAGGGTTTCTCCGTCGTTAAAGCTGCAAGGGGTTGCTGATCAATTAGGGCATCCAGAGTGGTCCGATTCGGATGCTAACCCACCCGCCGATGCCAAGTACTCCAACATGGGGGCCCACTGTCAGGTACATCGCGTTGTATGTCCGGGTGGTGTCAGCAGAATTGGGGTGGTTCCGATTGCTAAAGGGGCAGTGCTTCTGTTTTGACTCCTCATGGTTATGGGTTAGGGTTCCATCCAGATTAGGCATACACATTGTGCAGCGTAGATCCAAATGGCCTCGCTAATTTCCTTATTATAGTCAGTAATCTTCTGAATCCTCGTACTCCTCTTCCTCTTCTTTCTGGTCTTCGTGCTCCTCCTCGCAGAATGGCATCCTTCACTCTTGTCAGCGCCTACGCGGCTGCTGGCGTGCTGACAATCATCGTCTTAAATGTCTTGCGCCAGCTCCTGTTTCGTAAGAAGACTGATCCACCCCTTGTTTTCCACTGGATCCCTTTCCTGGGTAGTACCGTTACCTATGGGATGGACCCCTATGCGTTTTTCTTTTCTTGCAGACAAAAGGTTCGTCGGCCGCCGTGGTGTCCATTTCGCTATCTTGTACGGAGCCCACTACTAATCCAATTGGCAGTATGGCGACATCTTTACCTTCATATTGCTTGGTCGAAAGATCACAGTATATCTGGGCATTCAAGGCAACGAATTCATCCTCAATGGCAAGCTGAAGGATGTCAATGCCGAGGAGATCTATAGCCCGCTCACTACGCCAGTCTTTGGCTCCGACATTGTGTATGATTGTCCAAACTCAAAGCTTATGGAGCAGAAAAAATTCATCAAGTTTGGCCTCACTCAGGCTGCACTGGAGTCGCATGTACCATTGATCGAAAAAGAAGTGCTTGATTACCTCAAGACATCGCCCAACTTCAAGGGGACATCTGGCAGGGTGGAAGTCACGGGTGCCATGGCTGAAATCACTATCTTCACTGCCGGGCGGGCACTGCAAGGCGAGGAGGTTCGCAAAAAGCTCACTGCGGAGTTCGCAGATTTGTATCATGACCTTGATCGGGGGTTCACTCCAATCAACTTCATGCTTCCGTGGGCACCGCTGCCGCGTAACCGCAAGCGGGATGCAGCCCATGTGCGCATGAGGGAGATCTATATGGACATCATCAACGAGCGCCGCAAGAACCCGGACCGGGAGACATCGGACATGATCTGGAACCTCATGCATTCTACCTACAAGAATGGACAGCCTGTGCCGGACAAGGAGATCGCCCATATGATGATCACTTTACTAATGGCAGGTCAGCACTCATCGTCATCCATTAGCTCTTGGATCATGCTACGACTAGCCTCTGAGCCCGCAGTCATGGAAGAACTCTATCAGGAACAAATCACAAAGCTCAGCCCGGATGGAAGTACCCTTCCGCCACTGCAGTACCGCGATCTGGACCTTCTGCCCCTTCATCAGAATCTCATCAAGGAAACTCTACGCTTACACCTTTCCATTCACTCTCTCATGCGCAAGGTCAAGAACCCGATGCCGGTTCCTGGCACACCCTACGTCGTCCCCGCAGACCACGTCCTACTAGCATCTCCCGGTGTGACCGCTCTCAGTGATGAATACTTCCCCAACGCATCCCGCTGGGATCCCCATCGCTGGGAGAACCGAGTTGAGAAGGAAGATGAAGAGGACATGGTCGACTACGGTTATGGCACTGTGTCCAAAGGAACATCCAGTCCTTATTTGCCCTTTGGCGCTGGCCGCCATCGTTGCATTGGAGAGAAATTTGCCTACGTTAACCTGGGAGTAATTGTGGCGACCATGGCGCGGCACATGAAGCTATTCAATGTAGATGGCAAGAAAGGGGTACCTGCCACAGACTACTCCTCCATGTTCTCCGGTCCCTCGAAACCAGCGATTATTGGTTGGGAGCGCCGCTTCTCGGAAAAGTCATGAGCCCTAGTTAAAGCCTTCCCTTGGGAAGCCGATCTGTTCGATCAAAGCAGTCCCTATCGTCGGCTTTTTTACCGCCGTGTAACATAGTCATCTTTCTGAAGCCTATCTAGAGACAGCTATAGTTGGCACCGCACCCTGAAAAGGATATGTATAATGTTAGCATTAGATACTATTATTAATAATGTTATATCCACAGCATGGTGAGCAAGTGCCCTGGTAGACCTGTCAGCAAGAGCAGACAATGTTGCAATAATGGGAGATTACGATAAGAAAAAAAATCATACTGTCACATGGTTATTTATGAATGCGTGAAAGACAGGAGCCTACGAATTGGATGGTAGCAAAAATCCCAAGAGAGTAAGTACCTGCGTCAATACCAAGTCCGCGTAACCAGTAAACCGTGTATGTAAGATACCACACTTTCAGCCTACCATTGAGGGTAATACAGAGCTTAAAACCTATTGCATGATTAGAATACGTATAACTAAGGTCAAATACATACTAATTTGGCAATGAGGAAGCGGGATACGCTGTCCCACGAGTCAATGAGCGGTGGCGCAAGCCAACAAGTTGAGGCTGAGGGCTTGCCAGCTCAGCGGCGGATATTGATTTATGTCAAAATAAGAATGATGGTGAGCGTGTGATCAAGAATACTTACGGGCCGTTGGATCAGTTTCAGGGGGAATGGAGGAGAAAAAGCAAAACCTCTGCGCGTGCAAGTATCCGGAATAATCATAGCACACCATCAGCAGTTTTGAGGCGCTGATCGACATGGGCCGGGGTCTAGAATACGGAGCAGAGAAAATATACCCCATAAATGAAGTGCCAGCCATTATGGAGTGAGGTTCGTGGCACCGTGGTGGACCTGGTGGAGAGATCTGACCTTCGAATACGATTCTAGGGTCGACTGATAACGTCAAGCGTCTCGTTCGCCAGGTGGGGTTAAGGCCTATTGAAGCCGTCAGCCATGCCCACTGTAAGGCTTTCCATGTAAGGTCGAAAGCCGGGGATCATGCGAGGGTGGTACACTGCTAGAGTACTTCCCTGCCGTCAACTACATCGATCGGCGGTATTTCCGGAAAGCAACAAAGCGAGATTCACCAAGAGACACGGATGACTTGTCAGTAGGTTAACCCAGAGTCTGGGGCAGGGGAAGAATTCGAAGTGTGATGAAATTGCCAACTCATAGACCTGGTGACCTTGAGATCGACAGTGCTCAGGTCCTGCCCAATGAGATTGGACGACCAACGCAAGCGACAAGGCCAGTTCCCAGACCTGCATCTGCTGAATAGGAAAACGAAAATAAGCGAACCGGTCGGGGCAGAGTCAGCAAGAGACTTGGTTGGAAATGATGACCGCTACCTGACAACACCGGTACATACGTTTGTTTTGTTCTTGGATTGAAATGAAGATATGTGTAGCAGAACGATCACGTCGCTTGTACTGCTGTGTGTATCTCCTCGCCACGTGATTCATACGGTGCGGTCAATGACGACGTACATCAATTCTTCTATAATTGGATCATTTAACTGTCAGATGCGATGCAGATTTTTTCTGTTGTCACTGGCATGGTCTAGATGTCAATCTGAGAGTCGATCGGCGCCTGATGATATCACTGACAGGGCCAAATATCAGGGATGCTTCAGGTCTCCAGAAGAACCCTTGGGTTTTCCAATGCCTGACACCTGTATGACTACGCTACGTTGCCGAGTCGTAAAGTACACTCGTCAAGCTTATCTTCCTATGAATAATTTGAACGAGTTGCCCAAAGCCTTGAATTAACTCCATGAGTTTCACGAGATCCAGCAAATGCTCAGGACACCAATAGATACCGAACACAAAACCGGATAATTTTGCCTTGACACCGTGGATAGTATACATTGGGACAACAGGTATAACTTGAACAACTGGACACATAGTTGGGAATCTTTCGAGTTGTTCACCCTCCCAATGCAGGCCGTTCAACCTTATTATTAGAGACAGCAACTATCCTGGATCGGCTTTCAACGTATCCGACGGTTAGACCTCTATATCCCCAGCTACATGCCAGCCACATTGAGTGGGATCAGGATTTTGTGATCGGTTACTGATAGCGGTATGCATCTCACCATGACATGCAGCTGGCTATCGGCAGCTCCGGTCTGCACCTGCAGTGGAATTTTGGCTGGACATTTCCCAAACGCAGCCATCACCCTGGTCCATGTCGACTTGGGAGAATTAACCGTGTTCATTATATTGTAGTACATCGGAGTTACTCTCATTTGCCTCAAAGAACCAAAGGGCCCCTCATAAATTGATAGGTTAGTGAAAGTAGAAACAAAGTACTCGCAGGTACACTCTCGCGTAAACCATAAGTACCACCGTATGTAATCCCAAGTTCCGATACGACTCCAAACCGGAACGAAAATACGCATCGAGAATACGCCGATCCAGATCCCTCACGCAAACCACTTTATTATACTTCCCGACAACCCTCCAAAGCTGTTAAAGTTTCCGCCAAAGAAATCGCTACTGAAAAGAAAGCCATAAACCTACAGTCAAGCCCTTTAATAAATAAGAATCACTCAAATGAAACCCTTTACCCTTGGGTGCTCTCAAACCGGGAACGCTCGCGAAAACAGAGGGGAAGGGGGGATGGCGTTTCTCTTTTCCGCCCTCCAACATTTCCCCGCCAGTTTTGACCCACCGGCACCAGGTTTCTCCTCCTTCCTCCCCGCAACCCCTCACGAGCTGAACGCAGCAAAACCTCCGCCATGAGTCTCAACCTGTTAACTCGGGCCGCTCGCAATCCCAACGCACGAGTCAGAGGCCGAAGAGCCCCGGGATGCAACCTCGATCCACTACACGAAAATTATCAGGAACTGCTCCTCTTGTTCCCGTCCATGAAAGCATTTTAGGTTGTGCACCAACTTGCAAACAGGTCCTCGATTTCTGGCGTCATTGTGAGACTATCGGTTCTGTCTATGCAAACCCTAATGGGTCACCCCGAGCACTCACAGTGATTCACCCCGAAATACCCCTGTTCATGAAAGGTTACAGGCGTTGTAAATGACTTTTGTTGACATCATGAGACCGTAGGTCGACCGAGCGTAGGCTAGAGGCAAAAATGAGCCATATATGCAACGTTAAGCGAATAATGATTGGAATCCTCTGTGGTATCTCGCAACCCCAGGGAACGAAGCTGTTGCTCAGATCTACGTTATCGATGAGAGTTCAGATCAGGAAACTTCTGGCGTCTGCACTAGAACAGGATACGAGGACATGGCTGCGTTCCAATTGGAGACTGAGGCAGATCAAAGTTTGATCAATAAGGACTGTTTCGGCTTCGAGTGGTAGATGGGTGAGTTATCCGCTATATACCGACTGAAGGCGGGTGTTTTCGAAATCGATATAAGCTTTTCCTTGTTTACCCGTCATTTTCCTAGTCAGGAATGACTTACCTCTTGTATAAGCTTGTTCCGATAAAGCTGGGGTGTCGTTCTTGGTTTGGTCAAAAGATGTCGGAGCTTAGACTATTTGTCTAAGTTGAATGATCCCTCTTCAGGTTGGCATGGAGCCGCTACGTAAACTACTTCACATTGCCTGGCCACTATCTTTAATTGAGCAGTAATCATCATATTGCAATGGTTTCACGACAGGGTTTGGTGCATCCCGATATTGGAAGTCTTTAGAAAGAGGCCAAAGTTCCAGAAGGATCAGCCCTAGTAAGTGCTGTCCCACTAATTCAACATGTTACACAGATTGCTTCATTGAAACTTAAACCTAGTCGAGTGGACAAAGTTATTGCGTTGACTTCTATTTTCCCGTTAATTGCCATCCCTTCTTTGATACTTCGTTGAGTTGCTTCAAGCCGATCAGACACTACTATACTCCGTACTGCAAGTCCGCGTGAAGCACGGGAAAGAAACATTTGGAAATGGAATTTATTAGACAGTTCATATGAAGGACTTGAGGAGAGGAGTCGATATACAAACACCAAGAGCAAGGCCCAGAGTATTAAGATCACCTGCTTTAGAAGCGATAATTAAATCAAACCATATAATGCCCAAATAGGTAGCCTTAGAAAAGGATAGCACACCGCTTTGAAGCTACCGGATTTACAAGTAGGAAGGAACTGCTGAGCCATGTACCTGATTTGCAAACATCAAGGCAAACATCATAAGTTTGGCGTGAGTGATGCCTGGTACGCCATAATATATTAAAGACAAGGTCCCTATGGACCTATATAACATTTCAGCATCGAAGATAAGCTCTATTGAATGAATCTTACCCCATCGTCTAACATCTCATTTAAGGCAGAAAAATATCGTGATTATTAGGGTCATGTGATGCTTATTCAACTTTATGTACTTCCGTAGTCTATCTCCAAAGTTACAGGTAACGAAAAGCGCTTGTAAAGCAGAGGCGTGTTACTCTATTACAAGTAGCTCACTTTTATTACGCCACACAAGAGCGATTTCGATTCAAATTAAAATAACAACAAGATGTAAAGTACAAAGTACTACCTACACAAAGTCTCTTTGGGTTTCTCCAAGAACTACGGAGTAGGTATAATAGAATTAAGAGAGGTAATGCTAATAAATCCTAGTATTACACCGACACGAAGCATACGCCTTCTTCCATACATCCCAAAAGCAACAATTAACACAGTAAACAAAAAAAAAAAAATTTTAAGAATTATTAAATAAAAATAAAGAACAAGTTTCTCCGTGATTACTCCGTTCCCAAAGCCAAAAGGATCTCAGGTCCCAGAAACAGTAAGCCTAGCCCGCCAATAAGCGTCCCGCCCAACCAAAGAAACGATAAACCTCTCCTCCGAATAATATCCCCGAATACCCCAAAAAATAAGGAACAACTCAGCAAGCAATTGGATTTCTGCCTTTCAAGGTTTATGCGTTTTCCATCGAAAGTCTAGCAGCGTTCTATACATACGCACACAAATTAGTACGGAGTCAATTCGGCCCGTGTCTGACGGAGCAAAGTCCTCCGAGTGATCTATGTAGTTAGTAGATTAGTTCTAGTCTACTGTAAGCGGCAGCCACCGTTGATTGACGAGCGCCACTTTGCGATATACTCCGCTTCTGCGGAGTAGCCGGGTAACTAATAAATAATAAATAGTAAATAAGTGTCCACCGTTTGGCGGTCAGGATGTGGCCATCAGAAAATGAACAATCACCTATTGTTGCTCTTGTTGCAGTTATACAATTACGATCTTTGTTATCTGGTTTTGTTTTTCGACGGGGTAATATCGGGAATACTTTTGACCTATAGTTCCTGCTCTCATACATACCAATCTATCAATATGACAATTGAGAGACGCGGGAGAACAAGCACGGAAAAAGATCAATTAAAAAGGCACAAAACAATATGCACCTATATGCATGCCCTAAGGTACCTTACCATACAGAGCCATGATCACGAGCCGCTTCAAAGCCAATAGCACTGTTCATCACCTCACTAGCGCCAATTCACGACACAGAGATACCACTTGGTAAAGTATCCCCCACGAGAACAACAGAGCCGAAGACAAAATAAAAACACAGAAAAATAAGAATAAAAAAAGTACACAGATAATACTAGACTCAATGAAATGCAATTGGGCATCGACCAAGTCTCGGGCACCATTGGTTATTCTTCACGCTACAATCATAAGCTACCCTTCAAATACCCATAGAGTGGATATTATTACCAAATACACGGGTACACCCAGAACCCGCGAGAACCGCCATTCAATGTATGTATGTATATAACCGAGTGAGAAGAAATTTTTTTCTCCGGTAATGAATGAAATACCACGCTAAGCCTGTATAGTACTAGCACACCATTGATGCCATCCCACGCCATGCAGTTCTCTCTTCTAGAACACTTCTCGAAGCCACGTCCTGAAAACCTTGTTTTTCGTCGTAACAGACCACGGGTATGGCATGTGACCAAACCAAGAGTGGACTTGTACGCCTTTGTCGCAAGCTCTTACTTCATATTGGCATTGCCCCTGTTCGGAATCCTGGTCGCATCGGGTGTACAGCCTTAGATGGGAAGTGAAGAGCATGCTTACTAGAGGTAATATTTAAGTCTGTTATGGCACCAATTAGAACAACGGCATTAGATATGGCTAAGTGGGTTTTGTATTGCGCGGGTTAGCTGTAGCACGGAGGACCGTGTATAGTTTAGTTCGGTAGATTTAATATCTGCAATGGGGTATCTGTCTTTTTTTTTCACAGTGGTGTATCTCCACATTGATAACCAAGTCAGCAATGCTGCATTGCTATTATCAAGTCCGTTACGATGGGATATGAGTCTCAAAATGCTTTATCGCTCCACACATTCGGCCGTTGATACTTCCCAACGTTTGCCCATCATATGAGTACCCATAATAACTAGCACTAAAGGTTTTCGAAAGTATCGTGTCTAGACCCGACCGTTGTCCGGCGGTGCCCAGGCTCGGCTTCATCCCGAATTGTCGGGATGGTCTAAGTGTGAAACATGGACCGAGAGGCAACAAAGACTGAACTTTCGCCTTCAAGAAAGAGCTAGTAAACATACTGATAAAGAAATGTATTATTAGACCCTGGTGCTAACCTTGAGTTGGGCTGTGGCTATATATACCAGCTAAACTCTGTCCAATAGAGAGACATACTGTTGTTGTTGGACAGATGTTCTAGATCTCAACAGACCAGAGTCATGAGACTCAATTCGGTATGGCCACTGCTTTGTTGTATTAAATTCTGTGTGGCACACATAGTGTAAGAATATCTCA